AATAATTTAAAAGCGATATATGATAGGGTATTATGGTTATCACAAGAGTCCACAATTAAGGTTGCATAGTGGAATGTACTTGGGGCGGTGGGAGGGGTGCGGGAGGATTGTGTACCAGGAAGGGAGTCTTTCTTTTAGTTTTGAAAGAGAGGAGCAAACTGGGGGATGGGGGCAGAGGGCTGGGCGGGTAGGGAAGTGCAGCAATGAATGAATGGAAATCCAAATTTTCTGTAAATGTTCTTTGAAATTATTAAAACAAAACAAAACAAAACAATGCGCTCACACATAATGAGGATGACACACATTAGACAAAGGTTCTTAAGAACACCGTTATTCATGAGGACACTATGAGTTGTAGTTGACTTGACGGCACCTAACAACAACAACAACATTTCCGTGGTGGTGTATTCTGTAGGAAGTTGTATCATGAATCCAAAGGTGACACTTCTCTGGTAGTTCAAATCTATCAGTGATTCTGTGGGAGAAAGGAGGGCAGTTTTCTCCCTTCAAATTTATAGCCTTCAGAAATGAATGTGCTTTGGGTTGATGTCAATGACTAATATTACAGAAGCTATCTCCATTTTTTCTCCAAAAAAATTGGTCAAAGGTGATAAAGAAATCAATGGAGTATCAGTTAGTCATTTTACAAGAATATTATCAAGAGGAAAGAGTGATTATTTCATATAATTGGATTATTCAAAAGTTTGAGATTTGGGGAAAGCTGACTTGATAATCAAACCTCCTGTATATTAATTAACCAAGAAAATGATATCATCGAAATGTGTGTTTGAGGACTTGGCAATCCAGAAGGTTAGCTTTGAGTCAGTAACAACTTGATGGGAATGAATTTTTTGAGTTTGACTTTACCTTCTGTTTTTTTCCTTTGGCTGTTACTACAAAAACTAAACATAATAATAAAATTGGCATTGGCAACAGCTTATACTGGAGATAGATGGCCCAGGTTTAAATTTGGGTTCTGCCAATCACTGTATGATCTTTGGAAATTTTTACAACCTGCATATGATAGCAGATGCAGTAGCAGTACCTAGACTGGACAGAGTTTTCCTCTGTTGTTCAGAGCTCTCTGTAAGTACTTTGAACATGTTTTCAGGAGGGAACAGGTCCTGGAGAAGAATGTAATCTTTGATAAATAAGAGTGAAAAAATGAGAATTCTGAAGTGGGCATCTACAAGGTGGCTACAATTATAGCAACAATTAATGCTCAACAGTGTTTAAAAATAGCAATGATTGTGAGAATGGCACAAGATTGAGTGGTGTTTGCTTCTGTTTATAGTGTTACTATTAGCTGGAACCCACTTCATAACACTTAACTATAATAGCAATTATAATAAAGAACATTGATTGGTATATAGATTGTGTTTTTAAAAGTGATTATTTTTACTTTTGGCATTTATTGCAGGTTCATTTTGTGACAAACATTGCATTATTGTAATTTGTATGTTGTTTTTGTTATATTCCATTGAGTCACCTGTGACTCATAGCAACTCTGCACAACATCCCTAAACACTGCTCTATCCTGTGCCAATATCATTGTCTCTGACACACCTACCCATATTACCTCAATCACTAAATCAATCCATTTCATTAACAGTCTGCCTCTCCTATGCTGTCACTCCACCATCCTAAACATGGTGTCCCTCTCCAAGAACTGGTCCCTCCTTGCAACATGTCCAAAGTAT